AGAACTCCACCCCACCCAGAACAAGTCCAGGAGACATCAACATAAAAGAACTTGGAAGTCACACACCTGAAATTTCTGAAATGATAGCAACTGAAGTAAAGAAACAATTACATCAGGCCATACAAAAAATCTGATCAGAAATAATCCCTCAGGTAAAAAAAAAGAAATGACAAGAATAATGAAAGAATTGCTCAGCATATCAAAAGAAAACATAGATAAAAAAATAAAAGAGCACAGAAAAATGATGGAAACCTTGAATGAGCAACAGGGGAAAGAATTAGAATGCATGAAACAGATTCAAAGAGATATCCAGGAAATTAAAAATTCCATTGAAAGCTGGCAAAACCACTTGAATGAAACTAAAGATACACTTTCAGTCCTTGAAGACAGCATGCAGCTAGCAATTGTGAAAGGAAAGATCTCTTTAAAATAACCAGGAACCAAGAAATAACAATTTAACAGCTGCAAGATGAAGCAAAGAAAACCATATAAGATTGACAGGTGTCAACTAAAAGTAGGAGTCAACAAGAATGACATAAAAAGACTATTTGCAGAAGTAATAGCAGAAAATGTCCCAAGCACGGGAAAACAATCTGACATACAAATAAGTGAGGCATATGTAACTCTAATTAGCCATAACCAAAATACATCTACACCCAGACAAATAATCAAGATCCCAAAAATTCAGCAAAAGGACAAACTAGTAAAAGTTGACAGAGAAAAGAAACAGATCACCTATGAAGGAAAAACCCATCAGAATCATGACAGATTTCTCAACACAAACCATCAAGTCAAGAAGAGCTTAGAGTGAAGTATTTCAAGTCCTGAAAGAAAACAACTTCCAACCCAGATGGCTGTACCCTGCAAAACTATCTTTCAAAATTAATGGAGGCCCTTCTCCACTGTTGGTGGGAGTACATACTGGTGAAACCACTGTGGAAATCAGTGTGGAGTTTCCTCAGTAAATTAGGATTAGAAGTCCCATTCAACCCAACTATTCTCCTTTTGGGTATTTTTCCAGAAGAGCTGAAAACATCTGACTACAGCAATATATATACACCCATGTTTATAGCAGTGCAATTTGTCATAGTTACATGTTGGAAACCACCCAAATGCCCATCAACTGAGGAATGGATAAAAAGGATGTGATATTTTTATACAATGGAGTATTACTCAGCTATAAAGAAAGATAAACTCAAGGCTTTTATAGGTAAATGGATGCAACTAGAGATCATACACATAAGTGAAATAAATCAGA